ATGAATGCTTAGTAGGTTCACAAGTAATCCTGGAAAGCTTCATTGAGATATTGTCCAGAGACTGATGAGATACTTGAAAGGAACTATAGGTATGGACCTATTCTACACTGGATATCCGGCTATAATTAAAGGTTATTCAGATGCGAGCTGGTGCTCAGAACCAGATGAGTGTAGATCTACTGGAGGTTTTGTCTTCACCATGGGTGGAGCTGCCATCTCATGGAAGTCTAAGAACCAGACTATAATTGCACAGTCATCGATGGAATCTGAGTTCTTTACACTCTGTGATGTAGGAGATGAAGCTGAGTGGCTCAGTTGTTTTTCCCGAGACCTTTCATTGATAAAATTGTAAGGCGTAATTACTATCTATTATGATAATCAGGCGGCGAGTGTTGTGACAGCAAACTCAACGTTCAATGGAAAGAAGTGAACCATTCGTCTGGAAAAAAACATGGCTATTTAAGAGAACTTATTTGCCAAGGAGTCATCTCTGTGATTGACGTCTGGTCTTCAGAGAATATGGCTGATCCTTTGACTAAGGGTCTAAAAAAGTACATAGTCGAAAGGAGATTTGCTGGAATGGGTCTCGAAATTTTGTGAGTCTTATAAATACTTATCATGTGCATCAAGTTATTAGTTTAAAGTTATGCTACTAATGATAAGATAATTAGTTTAAAAGTTAAGAAAGATTTGTAAAGTTTGATGAGTCTTACAAATACTTACCATTTACATCTAGTTATTAGTTCAAAGCTTACGCTACTAATGATAAGATGATTGGTTCAAAAGTTATGTAAGATTTATAAGTAAAATCCTATCATGGTATAGAGGATTGTTGTTAAGCATTAATGAGTCCAAAGTATTTCAGATGCGGGTTGTTGGATAGATAACATGCATAAATGACTCACCGATGATCCTATCATATAAAGGGGATGGCTATTAAACCTTAATGAGTCCAAAGCATTTTGGATGCAAGGTGTTAGATAGAAAACCCACCTAAAGGACTCACCTAGAATCCTATCATGAGAGAGGATGACTCTTAAGCCTTAATAAGTTCAAAGCATCTCGGATGTGGATGTTTGATAGGAAACATACCTAAAGAATTCACCTATACCTGGATGGAGATTTGGTTGTCTCCTATGGTGTCTTATAGAAATATACCTAGAGCCTTAACAGAAACCAGTACATGCACAAGGCCATAAATATGCAAGGCAAAGGCAAAGACAAGTGTGGTTCAAAATAAAAACTACCACAGATGAGTTTAATCTTGTGTGATCGCTGGATTTTTAGACATGTGCTGGTTCAAGTCTCTGTGACATCATGCATCTATCTTTTATTCAATTGGTCTAAGGGGGATTCAAGTCCTTGTGAAATCTACATTATGTACAACGATTGAAACAACGGCACCGTTACACGAAACTAGTTTAAAAACTTGTGGGGAATTATTGATTTTTTTGGTCAAAACCGCTTTCCAAAAAAATGACTTTTCAAACTCTGTATTTATTAACTACTGCTATTTTTCAGATATCCTTAGTAGCGTAGTGGAAAGTTAAAGTTTTGGTATTTCAAAAGGTCATGTATTCGAGACTTGCTAATGGCAAGCCGAGAATTATTTTTATTCAATTAATCCCTCATAAGTTCTAGTGGGTTATGGGTCATGGGCTATAGGCTTGTGGGCTCGTAGGCCATGGGTCGTGGGTTCGTGTGCCATGGGCTTGTGAGCTCATGAGCTCATGGGCCAATGGGTTGGGTATCGGAGCTAATCGAGCTGAGGTGCTAAGTGGTGTTTTGTAAGGCATAGACGCGACCCTCACATTGGGTAGAAACGCGACCCTCACGTTGGGTAGAAATACACCATCGCTTTCAGACGTTTCTACAAGTAGCAATTAAAACTACATGCAGCAATTACATCAATTAGGTCATTTGCTATTACAAACATAATTGTTATTATGATTTGTAATAGTCAAATGACTCTTGAGCTGGCCTTAGAGGCTTATAAATAGAGCCCATTGGGGCAACTCTTAGATATACGAAAAGCACAATGAAGTATTTAAGCTGTTGTGTTGCTGCTGCAGAGTTTGAAAGTGCGCAAACTTTAGTCTGTTCCCGAAGGATCAGACCCCTAAACTGAAAGGTTATTACAGATTGAAAAATCTTTATCTTAACCGAAATGTTTTTGAACCGAAAGGTTTTAACAGATCAATGAGATCTTTGCCTGAACCGAAATGTTTTAACTGAAAAGTTTTAACAGATCGAGGAGATCTTTGCCTTGACCGAAAGATCTTATAGATTGAGGAGATCTTGACAGTAGTTGGTCGGTACACACCAGTATATTGTACTGTTATTCCTGGAAATTGTTTGGCATTAGGATCCTTATACCGGATTAGGCCAAATATTGTTTTAAGCATAACGTTTCATAAACGCACAGCAGCTAAACTTAAAAAGGTTTTAAAATATATCACTTTAGCTCTCTAACATATTTATCTATTTTATTCCAAATTTAGCCACAGGCGCCAACAAGAAATATGTAGTTTTTTGTTATGGTAACCTTAGCAATAAGTTAGAAGCTTGATGTTTTAGCCAAAGCCTGTGATCTTCCATTTGAATTTTGTAATCTCTCTCCATAAGTTGGCCAATGCTAAGAATGCTATTTTTTAACTTTGAAATATTATAAACATCATGAAGAACTTTTCTTGCATTCATTTTTCATATTGAGTAAGATTTTACCTTTGCGTTTAATCTCCACCTTTGAGTTGTCTCCAAATCTTACAAAGCCATTCACGCTTGCATCAAGCTCCACGAACTTGCTTCTATCTCCCCACATGTGATTGCTAGCTCCATTTCCAAGATACCATGTGCTCTTCTCACCCTTAGATTTCTCTCAAAGTGAAAGGAATAAGGATGGTTCTGTTTTATCTTCTTTGTGTTTAACTAGTTTCACGTCTTCTTCTAGCTTCTCGATTTGACACTTCCAAGAATAATGGCTAGGCTTATTGTAGAAATAGCATTCAACTTGAGATTTTTTATTTCTCCTCTCATTGCGCCTTTCATTGTTGCCCCTTCCTCTTGCTCTTCCTCGGCGATTGACAAAAATTTGGCTTCTATTCTCAAATTAAACATTCTTGTCTACGACCTCATCTGCAAAACCTCGACCCCTTCCACGTACTTGGCTACATCCGCTCCAAAAATTACCTCCTCTAGACTTTAAAGTCATCTTTGCTTATAAAGCTTTCTCTATCTGCTCTTGCTTGTCTTTCATCCTCTTCTCATGGGCTTGCAATGACTCATTTAATTCATCAATATTCATCACCTCTATGTCTTTGACTTCTTCTATCACTACCATCACATGATTGAACTTCGTGTTGAGAGAGCGAATATTTTTTTCAACAACATGAACATCTTGCATATTTTCTCCAAGTCTCTTCATTTGGTTCATCATCACTAAAACTTTTGTAATCTTGAACATATTAATTTTCCCTCATAAAAAGGGACTCAAACTCAGCCCCTAGAGTTTAAAGTCTAACTTTCTTCTCTTTCTCAACTCCTAGCACAGAGTTGCGAAGCATCTCCCATGCTTGTTTGGATGTATTGTCATTGGCAATCTTCTCAAATATATCATCATCCAAACCTTGATGGACAATGGTGAGAGAACGCTAGTCTTTCTTTCTTTCTTTCTCGAAGGTCTCCTTCTGAAGCGCGGTAAGTGTTGCTTGAGACTCCGCAACGCCTTTCTTGATAACATCTCATACTTCTTGTGAACCGAGTATGCTTTCATTTTGATAGCCCAATTCTCATAATTTTGTTTGATGAGTTGAGGGTATTGAAAAGAAAGAAAGGCTCTTAACACTGAGTTTTGATACCTTTTTGTTGGAAGGTGGTGGATATGGTCACAGACTCACATAAACCAGATAAAATTGGAAGAGGAATTCACTAGAAGGATTTTAATTTGATTAAAAAATGACTTGAATAAACATATTGATTACATGAATATTAATACTATACATTTAACATAAAAGACTCTTCATATCTAATACATGCACGCATACAATAACTAAGTTCATGAATCTTGATTTTCGGGTAAGCTGAATAGTATCCACTTAAATGCATATAACTCGATCTCTAGAAAAATCCAAATGATGAATGATTTGATTTTTTGAAAACTAGACAGACATGGCAATCTAAGAGCATCTCCAACAGCTTCCCCATTTTATTGGTATTCTCACTTTTGGAAAATTTTGAGCTTTTTTTGGTCCAACAGATTCTCCATCTCATTCCCCAAAATAGGGATGGAGGAGAAAAAAATGAAGTCTTTCCCAAATCTGGGTCATTCTTCAAATATTTGGGGAGAATATTGTCATAAATGCAGCACGTTTTTTAAAACGGGTTGGAGGAGAAAATAAATATAAAAACAAAATCCGTAATTACAAAAAAAAACCATAGGGGAAGTTCCAATGCATAAAGATCGAGCATTCCAAAATAGGGATGTAGAATATTTTTATTATTGTAATAAATACAGGATTCTTTAAAATGGGGAAGCTGTTGGAGTTGGAGCAAAAATAATTTGGAGAATATGACTTTTGCTTCCCTATTTTGAAGAAATTTTTGGGGAAACTGTTAGAGATGCTCTAATGAGTCCTAATTTAATTAATTTAATGAAGAATAACCTAGTTAAAAGTCTCCTCAAATTTGATGTTCAAACTAATTGGAAGTTTAGTACCAAAAAATTCTTGGAGGCAGTTCTGCTTTAGGATCCTCACAACTGAATGGTCAAATCTTAACTTTGATACACAGCAACTCAACCACACAAATTTGAAACCCACTACAGCGGAAAGTCGCATCTTTTCCTGGCTTGTTTAAAGCCCCTTCCCATTTTCTTACCTTTTTTTTCCAGTTTAATAATCTCCTGACATTTCCTAAAAGTAAATCCAAGCAGGGTCGTCAAATACAAAAGGTTCCAGAGTCTTGTTCACGCCACATGAGTCCACACACCATTTGTTAATTAAAGAACTTTTGCCTTCTCTCTCTCTCTCTCTCTCTCTCTCTCTCTCTCCCACGGCCCCTCTCTTTTATCCTATGCATTATTTCAACTTATATAAGAAGAAGGAGATGGGAGGTTAATTCTTACTTGGAACTTAGCCAAGTTTGGGCCTCGGTCAATCAATGGAGAAGCTCATAATGAGATTGCCACCAGGGTTTAGGTTTCATCCTACTGATGAAGAGCTTGTTGTTGAGTACCTCAAGAAGAAAGCCATGTCATGCCCTTTGCCGGCAGCCATCATCTCCGATATCGACTTCAGGAGCCGTGATCCTTGGGATTTGCCTGGTTAGTACAAGTTTTTGGTTGAATTTGTTGCTTCTAGCTAGTTTGAGAGTTGACTTTAAAGGGAGAACTTTAATTATTTTGTTCTAGCTAGTTTCGTTTTTAACTTTAGTATCCTATGAAATAGTTTTGGCTCGAGTTTATGTGACCGCAGTATATACACTTAAGGGTTACTATTTAACTTATTTTATGGTACTTATAGTTTTAGATGTTTTTTTCAAGCCTTGTCTTGATCAGAATGAATCTATGGCATATGTTTGATGATGAAGAAGAACTAGTATAAATACAAAATATATAGAGGGTTTTGGTGATGAGAGAAGACACGTGTTCAGATCAAATTATGTGGAGTCAATGAGATTTATATTTTCAGAACATAGAATCATATGTGATAATTTTCTCATAACTAAATTCTTCAAACTTTTTTTTTGGGCAATAGCGTGCATTTTACCTAGTTGAAATGTATTTATTAATGTTCTAAAACCTTTAACATGCATGTTACATATCCTTCAAAGTTCAAGGATTGCTCCTAAAAGATTTGTACGTATCATCTGATTTCCAAACTCATGAAGGTTGCCATGACGGCGAAAGGTACTTCTTCAACCTTCAAGAGGCGAACTATCGAAAGAGCGGTCGTTCAAATATTAGAGCCACAATGTCAGGATACTGGAAAGCAACAGGAAGAGAGAAAACAATTCTATGTTCCAAGCTCAATGAGATAGTAGGAATGAAGAAGGTTCTTGTCTTTCATCAGGGAAAGCCTCCTCATGGAGTTCGAACTCATTGGGTCATGCATGAATATCGCCTCGCTGGTCCTGATCAAACTAAGAACCCAAGCCAGCAGGTGAGAGTTTACAATTTCAACAAATTTAAAATATAAAACTTTATCTTAGGTTAAATCACATAAAATCTTCCTATGATTAAACTATTTTCAAAGATTTAAAAATGACACTTCAAAGCCTTATATATATTAATTGGTGTCATATCATATTACCACAGCTTTTAGATCCACCTTAATTAATTATATATAGATAATTTCTGCAAGTTATCGATCCTTTATACTATTATTATTATTATTAAGTAGAGTGAAATTTTAAACAAATATTTCCTTTATGTAGCAGTACTCCTTAGTTCAAGGCCAAAATTGGGTGGTGAGTCGCATTTTTATGAAGAAGAAGGGAACTTCAAAGATGAAAGAAAATACGGTTCAGTGCTATAGCAATTCTCGAGCAGGAGATGATCGAAACAATCATGGTGATTTCGGACCTCAATCTCCTCCTTCGAGTTGCGTCACTGATTTATCTGATGAAGAAGAAGGTAGCAAAGGAGAGGAAGCAAACAGCAAGTAGCTAGATTGGTCCCTATGAACATTATAATATTCTCCATGCATCTTAATTAATTTGATCTCTATTAATTTGTAATTGCAAATAATTTTGAGACGTAATTGTTCTTTTTCTTTAAGTTGGAATCATGAACTCACACACAACTGTCCAACCTAATTGCATGTATCCTTTTAATTCTTCTCCTGTTTGTGCTGTGAGAACATGTACTAAGGCATGAAGGAGCGAGGAAAGAGGTACAGTCTTAGTAGAAGCGAATTAAAAAGAATCCTATGTAAAGGAGAGGGTATGGCTTTATTAGAAGAGAAAAAGAATCCAATGTAAATTAAGGAGGAGGCATGGTTTTATTAGAAGAGAGAGAATCCAAGGAAATTAATTAATTAAGGAGGGAGACAAGATAAGGATTGTGAATGGGATGCCTTCAGGCACTATATATGGTCCATTGATAGAAACTTTAGCCTGAGACAAAAGTGAGTCTGTATAATACTTCATTAGGAAAACGGGGGAGGAATAGAATAGATCACATGTAGAAAGACTAGCTAAATACTTGGGATGCGATTAATATTTAATAATTAATTATTTCAAAACAAGAACATATTCTATGAAACTATGTTTTTGTCCAAATCTGCCCACCATCTTATTTGTACCGAGGCAAGGAATTAATGTAGTAGCTCGTATGACTTCTGAGTGCAAAGAACTAGTTGCTAAACAATCAGGAATTAGGAAATTCTACAAGAAATATTAGGCAAATATATTACATCATTTTCTTCATAGAGGATTTATTGTGGATGTAGCATCATGATGTGTGTTCGTTATGATTCAAAGTTTCTTCAATTATTCACCAAAGCTTCATCTATTAGTAGCTCTTGATGATCAATTCAAAAGCAGTCGAAAAGTTTCGAAAAATTGAACTAGCTAATAGTTCATGGGGAACAATGTTAATAACTTGATGATGAAACGAATACTTGAAACATCATAAGGAAAAAATACACGTACGTACGGAACTTGACCATTTTATTCTGTTTACTTTTTGTTGCAATGGTTTTCTCTTAGGGGCCGTTTGGTTGGTTTCCTAAAAAGCAAGAAAAGGAAATCGGTTCAAGGAAACCAATAAAATAATATTTTTATCCATTTCCGTCCCTAAAAACTCACCCACAACATCTAATAAAATAATATTTTTATCATCCAACTCATCTCATTTCATCTCCTTTCTTACCTTTAAAAATAAACCAAACACAAGAAATGTGTCACATCATCCAACTCATCACATCTCATCTTATCTCACTTTTAAAAATCACACACACCATCCAATAATATTGTGACAACTCATCTCATCTCATTAAACATTCCTTTCCATCCATTTCCTCAAAAAAAAAAAATTGGTTTAATTTCTTAAGTATGTGTCACATCATCCAATAATATACCTCCAACTCATCTCATCTTATCTATTTTCTTATTTTTAAAAACGAACCAAACACAAACAACCTCAAAACATCATCCAATAATATACCTCCGATTCATTTCCTTATTTTTTTTAACCAACCAAACAACCTCAAAACAATTTTTTTTAAAAAATCACTCACATCATCCAATAATAAGGTGACAACTCATCTCATATCATCTTCTATATTTTAGTTTTCTTCTTTTTTAAGCCAACCAAACAACCTCAAAACAATTATTTTAGGAAATAGGTTTCCTATTCTTTGATTTCCCATTCTTTTTTGCGAAACGAACAGCCCCTTACTAGCAATCAAAAGTTTCTATTTTCGTGCAGCCAATTTGTCAATTTTATTACTTAATTATTTCTCTTCTTAATCGGCCGGTGACATAAATTTAAATTACATTGAATTTAACCCTAAAAAAAAAAAAAAGAAGCCCCAAATACTTTGGGGAATCTCCTATCATGAAACCCTCAGTACTTTGTTTTTCCCGATAAACATCAAAAAATTTTCGTACGTATCACAAAGTGACAAAAAAATCCCCCTCAAGCCAAACAAATTATTTTTCCATTCTTTTTAGTACTTTTTTTTTTTGCAAAATAAACCCAAAATATCTCTTGATTAATATTGCTATTGACGAGTAGGGTAGGGTAGCAATTTTTTAGTTTAAAAAATAAAAAAATAATTGAAAGTAATGAGAAAAAAAAAGCTTTTTTACATTAATTATTATTATTATTAGTACTATATTTAGGATGTAAGGCTGCCTATTATATTTTATTGAACTCCACTAATTAGAGCATACAAAAACCAAAGACTACACCTCTAATCTTGGAGAGTTTGTCCATGATATTCCATTCTTTATGCTTCCATTTACATGTTACAAATCAACTGAGTCCCTTTGTCCCCTCCAAAGTTGTATTGTAGTGGATTGATGACTTGATGATCTCTTTGTGACAAATGGGAGTTAGGCTGTCCTCCACTTAAAAAGCTTTGCTTTGAAAGCTTGGAGATGCCTTTCACCAACTCCTATTTCATTAAGAAGTTTGAGCAAGAGAAGCAAGCAAAGGGTATCAATATTATAAATTGGAACTTTGGTTCTGTAAGAATATGGTTGGTGCTTTGGGCATTTGGTGCAGTAGGACGTACAAGAGTTGGTGTTAGTTTGCACATGGAGCTCATAACTAGCTAGGACACCAACAAATTAATGGAAGGAAGGAAGGAGGAAGAAGAAACTTCATTCGTTTAGATTTATGTAACATGATTAAAGAAAAAATTAAACAAATTAACAAGCTAGCTAGAGATTTGAGGTCGAAGTCTACTAAGCCCCTTTACCTTACGTTTTTTTTTAAACCCTACTTGTGTAAGAAGCTCGTTATAAACTATTATTTCAATCTACTAATTAAGCCTCTAAATATTAGTCCATGAATAGTAGAATGGGATTAATAATGTAAAAAGAAAGTTCTATATTTTCATAGAAAGAGAAGAAGACAAGGGCAAAATTTGATGGAAGTTTAGTGAGATTTTTTTCTTTAGTGGAACTTTAGGGAGAGATTAGTGGTTTTTTTCCTTCAACTAATTAAAAAGTTTGTTTAGTTGTATTAAATTATATACTTTTGAAAATGATAGGAATAACAATAATCTGCCCTCCAAAAAATTTAATAAGACTATTATAACATTCTATAATCATATTGAATAGGAACTAAATAGAATGAAGAAAGTGAAGAATCTTAGGAGCTTAACAGATTGAAATAAAGTTTAAGAGATTCTTAGAAAAAGAGGGTAAAATCTAGTGCCTTATTATACTTTGAACGCTAGTAATTTAAATAAATTGTTAATGATATGACTAGCTCGTACTATTTGAGACTATAATAAGATATGAAAAGAGAAAAAAAGGTTGCATTAGTTTAAAGACATTGAACTTGGACCAGAAAAGATGCCTAATTTGAAGCAGGTCTCTCAAATGTGATATAAAACTAAGGCTTTTACATAAAAACTAGTTTTTATGCACGTGCAGTACACGTGGTAAAATATCAAAATATTTTTTTATATTTATTTGTAACTATAAATAAGTCATATTTATCTCGAGTTCAAATATGTAAAATTAAATTATTAGATTTACTATTATTTTAATTTAAATATTATTAAAAATCAATGTAATGGATTTTAAAGCTAAACTGAGATGAATGTACCTAACTGGACTATTGTAATTGTCATTATGAACTATAATTATAGCAATAAAGAAATCACATTTCTTATTGTATTGAAAATAGAATTGCACATCATTTTTGGATATTGTAAGCTTAATTGGGACATCTTAATTGATTTCTTAATAAAAAATATAAATTGACATAATAATATCTTCAAGTAGAATATTAAAAGAAAATAAATTAAAGTAATACTTTATGTCATATTCCAAACTCTACTAATCCCAATATATAATATGGAGTCAAGCATGAATAGCAATATCATTATGAACTAATGTTCTAGTAAAAAAGAAACCACGTTTCTTATTACATTGAAAATAAAATTGCATAATACATTAGGACATTATAAGCTCATGTTTTGTAATAAATAATTTTACTAAACCATAATAATCATATAAAAATAAATTGCAAGGAATGGTTCCGAGATACCTCTTCTTAGATGAGATAATAAAAATCAACCTATACAATAATATGCATTATTGAAAAGCAGTAGGATTTGAGCAAACCCTTAAAGAAATTTATAATAAAACTCAAAGAAAAATGAAGATTTTAATCAAGTGCACATTGCAGAACATTGTAGTCAGAGAGTAATTGTCCAAAAGTAGTAAGATTAGAGCAAACATATAAACAAATTTAGAACAAACTCGAAGAAACATGAAGATTTTAAACAATTGCATATCGTAGAACTTTACAATTAGAGAGTAATTATCCAAAAAAGCAGTAAGATTAGAGCAGTCCTATACAGAAATTTACAATGAAATTTGAAGAAAAAACATACCAATTACAGAAAAGACAGGGAAATACACCTATAATTGTCCAAAAGAAGTAATAAAAAGACAAAAACTAAATAATAATGGTTACTATAGTATACTTTTATGTGATGAAAGCAATCACATAAGCATACAAAACTACTAATAATGTTGTATGAAAATCCCTTATAAAAATTCCTAATTCTACTCAAAAATTAAGATATGATATAAAATGATCAAAAAATATTATCTTTTGTTATTTTTGTTTCATATTTTTATTGAACCGAGATCAATCTTTCTCCACCTTTATCTTTTTCCTAGGTAATTCTAGAGTAGCATCTTCATCATGGTCGATTGTAATATTAGGCTGGAGTTAGATTTCTTGTGCTATTATATTTCCTTTACCTCGTTCATCTTTTATTTTTTCATCTAACTTCACCAAGAATTTGAACTTTTTCGATGTTCAACACAAATTTCTAAAAATATGAACTCTGATTTTTTTCTGTTTCAATAAGAACAAATGTTATTTTAATATATATGGATTTTTTTTTCTAAATTATTACTTGAATAGAGTTAGGAATTACCTCTTTTTTGTTATGAATTTATCTGTTATGCATCCAATAAGAGTTTCTACTACATCAAATAGTGTTACTCTTGCATTATCCATGCTATTTTCTATGAGAATCTTAACTATGTACCTATAGTTTTCATTGTTAACTTTTAGAGATAGTTAATATTGTATTTTAATATGTTC